CCGGAACCCTCTGGAACACCTTGAAACACTCTGGAACACTCCCCCACAAACTGCTCCAAGGTTCAACGTCGAAATATAATTTCTGCACCTATTTTAAATTAATATTTTGTTACTAATTGGAGTTATTAATTTAATTTTGAATGCCAAAAGCTTATTTAATAAAAATAACAAATAAAAATTAATTACAAAATAATTAAACACGCCTAAAACTGTTTTGATTGAATTAAACCAGGAGATATATAAAATAAAAGAAAAATTATTTAATTTAACAATATTTTTAGCACAAAAACCAGCTTAAATTTACAAATAAAAATTTAAATAATTTAATTTAAAATAATTTTTATATTATAACGAGAATATTTTACTTTAAACTAAAAATAAAATTCCGTAAAATAATATCATCTGTTTGTAAAGAGAAGTGGATATTAAAATAAAATAAAAAATTAATTTTAACAGAAAAAAGTGGAAATAAATAAATCTTATACGGAAACAAAAGCTATTTTTGTAATAATTTTAAATTGCTGTCTCTGATATTAAAATTATATTTAAAAAATTTTTTTAATAAAAAAATTTAAAAAGCAAAATAATAATTGGAATATACTATGTATATTCTTTTAAATTATTTTACAACAAAAAGTATTTTTATATAAACTTTGATCTTTTTATTTAAATAAGGGGAGACTTTCCTCCTCTTTTCTTAACTTTATGTAAATTTATTTAAAAAAAAATAATTTGGAGACAAATTTAATTAAATTTGTGAGTGTGTTATTAGGAAATATAAATAATTTTTCTAGTAAATAACCAAGAATAGAAATTAATAGATACACTGCGTAACAAAAAGATGGCACATCATGTTTTTTCGATATAACTCAATGGAAAAGGGTCCGTTTCGACTGAAAATTTTTTTGTAAATAATTTTCATGACTAGGATAAAGATAAGCTAAACCGCGCGGTTAAATTTTTTCCTGAATTTTTTTATAAAATAATAACCGTTTTAGCAGTGTAACAAAAAGATTGTAAATAAATTTAGTTTGGAAATAAAATTAATTGAATAATTATTTACATAAAATATTAGTTAATTAAGTATAAAATATTTTAATTAAATTAACAATTCTCTAATTAAAAATTAAATTTAATCTAAAATTAAAAATAACCTAGTACCTAAATTTAAATATAATAATTAGAAATATGACAGATGTTTTTAAAAATATATATATTTTTAGAAAACTTTAAATGTTAAATAAAAAGTTTGGTCAGAAAATAAAGTAAAATTCTAAAAATTATATTTTTTTTAATTAAATTAATTTTTAATTTTTATCAAAGATTTTTAGTAAATTTAAATTGAACGGTTATTAAATAATAAAAATTATTAGAGAATACATATGTATTTAAAATAAAATTAATCTCTTCATTTTAAATTAATTTTAAAGAAAAAAATATTTTTTAAATATTCGCCATAAACTTTTCTTCAAATAAAATAATTATTTTTCGAATAATGAAAGGATTAAAAATATACCGGAAGGTGTTTTAAAGTGGATATTTGCTAAAATAAATCTGTCAGTCTGTAAGAAAGTACATTTAAGAAGAGGAAGCTTTTAAGGAATTTATTTAAGTGGGAGGGAATAAAAAATAAAATATTTAAATATATTAATTTTAAATGTTAAATTTAAAATTGATAAATTTTAACTGAAGAATTAATATTTTAATTTTCCAAAGTCTTATTTATTAGGAATAAAATTCAGACGAAATAAAATAAAATTTGATTAAATAAAAAAATAATTATTTTAATAAATACAGTAAGGTGCAAAAGTTTGGAACATTTTGTTGTAAATTATTAAATCAATAATTTTTCTTTCAATTTTCAACGAATTAGCTGGATTAAATTTTTAAAAATTAAATAGAAGTGTTCTCTATAAAGTGACAATAAAAGTTTTTAAATATCTTCACAAATTTTTATATTTTATCCCTATAATATTTTATGCCTAAAAAATAAGGAGTGCAAAAGTTTGGAACATTTTTGATTTCATTTTATTTTGATGCTAAAATCCAACCAAAAAATCTAAAAAAAGTTCATCAAACTTATATATTGATATTATAATAAAATAATAAAAAACCATAATAAAAATCATCACTCTAAGCCGAGATCCTGAAACACCGAAATCAACGTAAAATATGGGTAAATCACTTTAAAAAATATTTTCGACCCCTTATTAGTCGGTTTGAATTTTTATTTTGAGCTTATCTGAAAGCCCTTGAAATTTGCTACAAGATAGGAATAATCGTATTTTTCAGAAAAATATCCATTCGGGAGATAAGGACCGTTTGTTTTTCGAAAGGGCATTTATGGGGCATTTAGGCGATTTTTGTTGCGCTCGAAAGATAAACGGTCCTTATCTCGTTATCAAATTTTTATGGAAAAATCTGATTAATGCTATCTTGTAGCAAATTTCAAGGGCTTTCATATAAGCCCTAATTGAAAATTTAAAATTATCCATAAGGGGTCGAAAATATTTTTTGAACATGAAAAACCCCGTTTTACGTTGATATTCAGGGTAGCGAGATCTCGACAATGAAATGAGATACGGGCTTAGTTCTTTTTTATTTTCCCTTATTATCGATCATAATGCCAGCTTGAATTTTTATAATTTTTTTGTTTAGATTTTGACATCAAAATATAGTCAAATCAAAAATGTTCCAAACTTTTGCTCCCCTTAATTTTTAGGTATAAAATATAATAAGGGTAAAATATAAAAAAATGCGAAACTAATTAGAAACATTTAGTGTCATTATATAGAGGACACTTACAACTAATTTAAAAAATTTCAATTTAGGCCGTTCACTGAGAAATTAAAGAAAAATTATCGATTTACTAATTTAAAGCAAAATGTTCCAAACTTTTGCACCTTACTGTATATTAATTAATTGAAAGTATTTTTTAATAAAAATGGATTTAATCGAAGCTCACTTATGTGTACAGCCTTGGCCTTGGGGTTTGAAAAACCATTTACTAAAATCAGATGTAGTACATAATGCAGGGGGTATCGCTTATCCCTTCCCAGAGTCAAACCAAATTTAAAAAATGTGAAAGGAGTATTCACGTTAGTAGGGGGAGGTCACGTAAGTGAGGTCCGACTTTATGGTTATTTTATTTTGATTTTTAAATATAAACAATGAAATATAAATAAAATACAATGGGAGAAATTTAAAAAATATTTCCACTTTCAATTTATATTACAATTAATTTTTAATTTTTGTTTTGAAAATTAACAATATTATTAAATTTGTGACAAAAATTTAAAAAAAAATAAACTTAACAAATATATTAGTCATTAAATGATGAAAACATTTTTAAATTGATGTTTAAAATTTAAAGTTTTTATTTTTCAAAAAAAGACACTTTAATTTTTATATTGGAGGATTAAAACTTGATAAATAAAATTATTATTTAAAATACGAAGAGAATTTGTAATGATTAAATACTTAAATTACTTAAAAACATTAAAAACAAAATTTAAAAAAATTTACAAACTAAAAATTAAAAAACAAACTGCAAATATTTTTAAATAAAAAGTTGAAATCGTAGAATACCGTAAATCTTCTAATTGAAGCATGTGTGCTTCTAATAAAAGATTTACGGTAATATGAAAAAAGTCTTTATAAAAAAATTATAATATAAATAATAATATTAATATAAAAGTTGAAAATAAAAATTTAAAATACCTACATTATTTAAAATTATCTAACTTGCAATCTATTAAAATTTCATTAATTATACCTAAGTAATTTGAATCAAAATTTTTAGTAAAAATTTAAAAAATTAATTTTTTAAATAAGAAATAAAAATAATTATTTAGAATAGTATAATTATTTTAATTTTACATATACTCAAAATTAATAGCGTAAATATAACTAATATTTAAATTTAAAAAGTTAAAACATTAATTTATTTTTTTGGTAAAATTTAAATTAGAAAAAATAAATATTTTCCAAAAATGGCAAAATAAAAATATTTTTTAAATTAAGACATTTAACTTGTGATTTTTAAAGAGGTTTAACAAGGTTGTTTTTAAATAAAAAAAGGATAAATATTAAAAATAAGCTTAATTAATGGAATAATTAGAAAAATAGAATTAGAGATTAGGCTTAATAAATAATATATTTTTGGATATTAATTTATTTGTTTTTTATTGGTGTATGATTTTTTAAATTTTTAGTAATATTTATATTAAATTTTATTTAAATTTTATAAAATAATTTTTAAAAAAATAGAAATAAATAAATTATAGAAAATTGACAAAATTATAAATGGAAAATACTTTTAATGTATAGTAAAAAGTTGAAAATGAAATTTTAAAGAAACTCAAAAAAACTCAAAAATTCATACCTTAAATTAATTTCTGTCATAATATTTCAAATTTATTCAAAATCTTCAAAAGATATATCGCTAAAATGGAAAGACAAAAAAAAATAAATTAAAAAATATGTGAGTGAAAATGAGGTGTTTGAATATTTTTTGGGGTGCCATAATGTGAATAAAAATAAAGACAATAAGATAAAGGCTATAATCTTGAAAGTTTATTTAATAATAAAAATGAAAAAATTTAAATTATTTTAAAAAATATTTATTTGATGATTATAAATAAATTAAATTTATTTACCGAAAAAAAAATATTAATATAGAGAAAGAATATACAAAATAAAAATAGAATATATCTAATTATTCCATTATGGTAAATGTCCAGTTGGCGGTCTACATGTCCGCAAAGAGAATCTGCTTTTTTCTTTCCTTTTCTTGCAATTTTGCGTTAGGAAAAGAGCTCGCTTATTTTTCCTTCTCCTGACATTAATACTTCTCAATACAGTATGTTTTCCTTTGCTACTTGTAAACTAACATTAAGTTAAAATTTACATCTAATTTAGAAAATATTTATTTACAAATGATAGATTTTGGATAACATTCTCAAATAGCTTTCTAAAATGTCGGGTGGATAACAACCTTTTATGGGATTATAATGAAGTGACAAAAACCAATAAAAGGTTAAATACTTAGGTAATTCGTTCTTAGTTATATGTCTCATCTGACGAACCATTCTAAAGCGTAATCTGTTCCAAAAAGCCTCTATCTGTTGAGTATTTGCTCCATTATTCGGATTAATAAAAAATTCTTGATGGTTGACCGTCTTATGAATATAATCCAATTGATCCAAACCTAATGATACTTTTTAAAGCCTAATTGAATAAATGTACCTGAATAAGCACGCCACTCATCGCTATGCATTTATGGCAGATCATTTCAGTCCTCAATAATTGAAAACCTTGTAGATATTCAATAACTAGCAATTGGGACTTTTTCTTTGATTCAAGATCAAGAGTTTGATCGTCGAACAATGGGATCCAGAATTTTTCTACTGAGGTATTATTTGTAGGGCACGAAACGGGCATATTTTATTGTTATTTATTAAGAAAAATGTTTAAATGAACTCTATTATACACACTTATTTTATGGAACCAAGCCAAGTCCTCAATTTTTTAATTTAATCATTGATCATCACAAACTACATTTTTATTTGTTATTATTTTACTTTTCACTCTTTTCTTTCATTAGGCATATTAACAAGGAAAAGGAAAAATAAGCGAGCACTTTTCCTAACGCAAAATTGCAAGAAAAGGAAAGAAAAAAGCAGATTCTCTTTGCGGACATGTAGACCGCCAACTGGACATTTACCTTCCATTATTTTTAGTTGTCATTGTTATATTTATTTATTTACATATTTCTTTTAATTGACTAATTAAATTTTTATTTGCAACAAAAAATGTTGCTTATTTATATTTAATTAAAAAATAAATTAATTTAAATTATATATTTCCTTAAATAGATATTTTAGACAAGAAAAAAGAATTTTAATTGTAAAAAAATAATAAAAAATATACACGAATTTTTAGTTTAGGTATAAATAAAAAAAAATATTTTTTACATAATTTAACTAAAAATAAACATCAAAAACCGTCTCATCTTTAATTTTATTAATTCTTCTATTTTTAGCATTATTTTGAAAGAAACCTTTGAATATTTTTAAAATAAAACGCTCAAGGAATTTATGTTAATTTTTGTTTTGTTGCAAAAATATTATTTTTGGCTTAAAAATAAGGAAGGAAAATTTGTTAAAAAATTATTGGAAACTAAAATAAATATATTTGAAGCCTTTTGGCTTTGAGATAAATCCAACTTTATAAGAAAAGAGAGAATTTATTTAGCCAAAATTTAATATTAAAAATAGGATAAAGCAGGATTAAAATATATATTTGTGCCAAAAAATTTAAGAGAAACACTCTTTGGCCCTCTTTTTGGCAGTCAGCCCAGCCTGATAATATAAATAAATGGATATTATTAATAGCTAGAATAAAATATGTTATAATTTTTCGAGTCAAAAATAATCAGTGATTTATGATGACCGTCATTAAGGGGCCAACTTTTTTTTAAATCAAGTAGTACATACAAAGACCGGCCCTGCCGCACGAAGGGCAGAAGAAATCGGAAAAAAATAAGAAGACGGACAAGAAAGAGAAGGGTCAAAAAAGTCGAAATTTTGTGGAGGTGAAAATTTTTGGAATTTTAGAAGGTTATATTTCTTCATTTTTTGGCACCGTGGTGAAATATTTTTGAAGTCAAAATAAATCTCTTGAAAAATCTCTTGAGAGCAAAAAACTGAAAGCAGGAAAGACAAAAATGCAAATTATGCGGAAGATGGAAGGTGTGCGTGGAATAGAGCCCATCTCTCATACACAGTAGATAAATATTTAACATACATATTTATTTATTCTTGTTTAGTTATAATTTAATAATTAATATAAATTAGTATATAGTTAAAAAGGAACTACATTTTTTAATAGATTAGAAGGATTCAAGGGTTTACTGACACCAATGGCACTTCTGCAAGTCATTTTTTGCTGCATCCTGCGCACAATAAGTTGCTTCCTTCTCCTAATTTCCTCCGGGTTATCAAATTCTTAAATATATTTTAGATTGCAGCTTTAAGTAATTTCTTTGTAGTAATTAATGAATAAAAGTTTATTTACAAATAATTAAATAAGAATTTATAGATTTGTGATAAAGTTCTCTAATATGTTTTAGGTAGATCAGGTTAACCTTTAATTGGGTTATAATGCAAGAATAAAAAACATGCGTGATGATAGATAAGAGAATATTCGCGGATACTGGCGAGTACGGATATAAAATTTTGAGAAGGAGACAAAACGGGTTGATAAGGATACGTATGTTAATTCTTGGCATTACAAAATTCTTACAATTTTTGCCGACTTGTTGCCGCGAATTTTTTATGAACTTAATCAAAAATTTACATTCGTTAAATTTTTATTTAATTATTTTTAAATAAACTCTTATTAAAGAATTACTTCAGCAAAGTACTTCAGCTGTCAACTGATTATTTAATAACCTAAAAGAAGTTAGAGAAGGTAGCAAATTAGCAGAATGAATCAAAAAATTATTCTTTTGGTAAATGCCTTTTGCGGAACATTTGCCGGATTCAAAAATCTGACTGGAAACCCCGCGTTTTTTACATGTTCCGCACTTTAAATCCCACCCAAAGCTTTAGTAAAATCAAAAGGTTTTTTCTTTTTTTCTTCTTTCTTCTTCTTTCCCTTTGTTTTTTCATCTTTTTCCTTTTCTTCCTTCTTATTTTCTTCTTCTTTTGTTTCATCTTCTTTTTTAGATGACGGTTCATTTATGGCAATTCCTTTCATTGCTTTGGCAAAATTAAATTTTTGTTTTGTATTTTTAACTTCTTCCTTTTCTTCTTCAATTTTATTAACATTTTCATCTTCCTTTTTTATTTCCTCAATTTCTTCTTCTTTTTCAATATTATAAATATAATTTTCATCAAACATATATTTAATTTTAACAAAATTAAAATCTCTGACCAAAACATCAACAATTTCAATTTTCCCATCTTCATCATCTCCACCATTTTCATAAATATTTATTTTTATCCCTTTTTTTCATTTTTTTAATAATTTTTATTTTATTTTCTTCATCCATTCCTTTAATTGAATAACATTTCTCCTTATTTACATCATCAACATTTACAAAAATTTTAAATGAGGATTCAATTGAATGAAATAAAAATGCTATTTCATTTTCAATTAAATACCCTAAAGGTGTCAAAAAAATTAAATAATTCCCAATTTTGTCAAATTTTATACAAAATCCAATATAATTTCCTTTAATTTCTTCAATTCTTTTATTTTCAATTACTATATTGTCCACAAATTTATTTTTATATTTAATTCTTTCTTCTTTTTTTAAATTTTTTATTTTATTTTTTATTTTTTGTAAACTTTCAGAATTTGAAATATAAGTTAAATTAATTAATTTATATTTATTAATATTTTTTCGTTTAATTATAGCTTTATTAGGCAAAATAATTTTTCTTTTTTTATTATCCAAATCCTTTTCAACTATTTGTAAGGAATTATTTATTGGCGAAATTTCCATTATTGGCTACAAAATTAAAAATATTTTTTTTAATTTTTATTTATTTTTATATTAAATTATGTAATCTTTAATAAAAACATTTTTTTGGTCGAAGTTCCATCGATAAATCGGGGAAGATTTGGCTCAATATATCCCGTACGGGGTCCCGTCCCATGCCGAGCTATTTTAAAACCCTTAAATACCAAAAAATAATTTAATAAAATTTATTTTAATTTTATATTTGCTGCCAAGTATCCTCATCTAAAGGATGTTATTGAGGTATTTATTGGGATTAGTCAATCAGAATTTTTTTAATATTTTCGGATTTTTAAAAATATCGAGAAAAATCCAAAATTCTGTTTAAACTTACTATTTTCTTTTTAACAATTTTATTTATAAATATTCCTGATTTAAATACATCTCTGTATTCCTCCTCAATTTTCAATATCCATTTTCCGTTTTTGTTTGTTGATTTCGATGACCGTTCTATCTTGTAATGAGTTTTATTTACATCCGGATCAGATGAAGTTAAAGTAATTAAATATCCTTCTTTCCACATTTCTTCACTAATTTCAATAATTATTTCAATCATTTTTGGTTTATTTAAGTCCCCCTTTTTAATTTCCATTTTTATCAAATTTATATTGCTAAGTGGATTATTCTCTAATTTTTCAACAAAAATCTTTTCTTCAATTTCATTATTTAAAGAGATAAATGAAAAAAGTTGTAAAATAATTTGAATAAAAAATATAAATTTTAAATTCATTATTTTACCTAGAAATTTAGTAAAATACTGTATTTATAATTATTAGTAGGGATGATAGAATTGTCAATTCGGAGAAGGATATTTGATGAATTTTAAATGTGAAAATTAATAAATACTAAAAACTTGGTTTTATGTAGATGTTTAATAAACCTTAGTTCTCCAAAATCGCGAATTCGGATGAAATTTACCATCCGAACCCGATTTTGTCAAGTTAAGTTAAACTTTGCATCGAGGTTTTCCAAAAACCTCAACCTCGTCCTACACTAATCAGAAAATGTTTTATCTAGTTTTATCTAGAATTAATAGAAGGACTGTAAAGCATATAGGTAGCTATTTAATTCTTATTGAAAGAAAAAGAAGAAAAAACAATTTTTCTATAAAATAAATGCAAGTAATCCGGTAATCAATGTTGAAAATGGGAAAGCTGGAATCCGGCCAACTGAAGATTCTGGTTCGTTCTCAGCCGGCTAATAACACTAGCCGGCTAATAATACTAGACAACTAAAAAAGACAAAACTCTGGCGTTCTAGAGGTTTTAATCGTGTTGAAAATGGAAAAAAGCTTGAATTGAAAGAAATTAATTACAGTGAGGGAAAAATAGTTTTCGAAATATGTACTACCATTATAAATTTATTTATGTTTTGGGAAAAATTTTATTAATAAAAGTACGAATACCTTTTATTATTTTATATATACTTCTCGGCAATTTTTTTAAAGTACAGATTTTGAAATATAAAAGACAAACTGTCTAATATACTTTTAAATGTGTACTTTATTAGGCAATCTAGGGTACAAATAAAAGGTAGTTTATTAGGCAATCAAAGGTACAAATAATAATAACCGATTTTGTCAAGTTAAGTTAAACTTTGCATCGAGGTTTTCCAAAAACCTCAACCTCGTCCTACACTAATCAGAAAATGTTTTATCTAGTTTTATCTAGAATTAATAGAAGGACTTTTTGCCGAAGATGAAACCGCTTGTTATTTGCAAGGATATTAGACAGTTTGTCTTTTTTCAAGCAAATTTTAATTGTTTTAAGTTAAAAATATACATAGTATAATTGCAAATAACAAGCCTCTCACAGAGCTAAGTTAAAATATGAAAGAATTTTTTGCCGAAGATGAAACCTCGCAGAGATGCAGGCTCCTGAACATCGAAAAACTATTTTTTTAATCGAACGGATACGGATGCTCCAAATAAACGGATATCCGTCCCTAATTTCTGCGATTAAACATTCTAATTAAATTTTAAAAATTTAATCAAATTACTTGACAGTTTTAAATTGAAAGAATTTAAATTGAAAGTTTTAAATTGAAAGCAAATTTTAATTGTTTTAAGTTAAAAATATACATATAATTGCAAATAATATTAAACATTGCACAAAATTATTTTCTTAATTCAATGGGTAAATTTCATTTGGATATTAATTGGCCGAGACAAATGATCCGTGGACTTTTTTCAATTCAATCGGTTCAATTCCCAAGTCATAAACGTCTCGATAGTCACAATTTTGTAAATGATCAATAATTGGTCCTTGAGGTTGAACAATTAGTGAAGGTATTGAGCCTTGGACAGCCGAGAAACTCTCGTACTTAAAATAATTTTTTATTTTAGTATAAAATTCAAAAAAATTATTTTTAGAGAAATCAAATCCTTAGATGTGTTAAAAAGTTCCGGTTTAACCGGAACTTTACAACCAAACCGGAACCAAAAAATCCCGGAACTTCCGGCCTACCTGAACCGAAACTTCGGCGCAACACTAGTGCCAAAGCATATGATCTCATACTTATTTGCTCAACTTAGAAAAACTAGTAAAAAATATGCCTAATAAAGCTTTATTTGAAATTTTAGCTATTTTTAGGTTAATAAATAAAATAATGGCCTATTTTTTGCCATTATTTTTGAGTGGCTACGCTCTATCTAGTGTTTTGGAAAGAGCAACCTTGGTGTAGTTCTAACAATAAACTTATATATGAACACTTAAATAGAAATACTAAAAACAAACAAATCCGTCTTCAACAAATCTATTCGTAACAAATCCATCTCCAACAACTCGTTCCTTTTTCCATTTTATTTCAACACACAGACGATGGGGCAATAATTTGGGTAATAATTGATACATCCTACTACAAGTAACAGATAATATGCGAAGAGAGGCATCATCCATCCATCTTGCAATGAGCAAATAAAAATGTGAAGGCATTTCGGCAAGGAAAAAACTAGGGTTGTTGGCGGTCGGTTAACCGAACCGAAACCGAAACCGAAAACCGGTGTTTTTGGCCAATAAACCGAAACCGAAAACCGGGGGTCAAAAACCGGCGAAAACCGAAAACCGATGGGCTAAACCGACCGGTTTCGGTTTATAAAATACACCCCTAAAGATGGAATTTTTTGGGAATTTTTTGGTCATTTGAATTCCCAAAACACACTTCGCGAAAATAATTTTCCTAATTTCTGCTTCAATAAATAAGTTTTTTCACTTTTATGCACAACATTGTGTGTGGTTGAGTGGTTTCTTGATGGGGTCACTTAATTTCTTTCTGATATGGGGTTGGGTTCGAGTCCAAAGTGTAAAGTTGGCTTATTTTCTTGTTACTTCCAAAAACTACTAAGCTTAAACTTAAGTACATATTTTATACTCGAAATTTATTTTTAATATTAGAAAAACGAAAAAACAAGTCAAAATTTCCACGAAGTCCTATAATTCTAAAAATTTTCGCCTGCGGCGCAGAAAATGGAAGAAATCTGGCTCCTTGACCTAGAAAATTTTCAAAATTTTCGCCTGCGGCGCAGAGAGATTTGCAAGGATATCGGAAAAAGCTAAGCCTGTGTGACCTCTTTTTTCTTATTTTTCTTACATCCCAAAACTGTATTTTTACATCCCAGCACTGTATTTTTCTATTTGCCTTAGGCAATAGATGAATCCCCCTCCGAATCCCTCAACTTAAATAATTCACTCAAATCTCCGATATCTTCGAATCTTCATATATAACCAGTGCTGTGTATGCACCGCGAGCTGGCACCGTAGCCCGACTCCGGCGGAGCCGGAGCCAAGATTTCAAAAGCTCGGAGCCGGAGTCAATTAATGGCCAATACCCAGCACTGTATTTTCACTTGCAGCCCTGAATAATAAAATTTTCGTTGGCTGATCTTTAGAATATTTCATTAAAGCATAATAATGGGATAAAATACTAATTGAATATTCTTTATGGCAAATTCAGGCATAAACCGGTTTCGGTTAACCAAAAACCGGGGGTCAATCAAAAACCGAAACCGAAAACCGGGGGTCGTAAACCGGCCAAAACCGAAAACCGAGGGTACCGGTTTTTAACCGGTCGCCAACAACCCTAGAAAAAACCTAAAATATTCGGGATTCGTGTTACGAGTGTGTTATTTACCCGAGGAAGAGGCTGATGGCACGTTCATCAAAATAGGCAAATTAGGCATTGGTTCATATACACACGCAGACAAGAAAGAATTATACCTAAATTAAAGGTATTTAGTATATAAATTTCAGAAATATATAAATAAGCCTTTACGGATTAATTTACTCAAAAATTTTTAAATTTTATTAATTTTTAAAATAACTACTTGATCGAATCATTTCTAACTCAATATTAAAATATCAGACGCAATTACTATCCCCTTATTCGAAGGTTCTTAATATTTGCATTTTTCTTGTTTTTTCTTTTCTTGCATTAACCAAAAAACAGATTTTGCTGCATACATAAAGTGAGCTTTTAAAGGCTAAGTCAAAATATAAAATAATGATTAAGAATAAAATTTGTGTGAAAATTAGCCGTAAAAGCCTCACTTAATTAAAATTATTTATGAACTCACCTAAACACCCCATTTCCTTTAAGTGGTGTTAAAGTATTCATTTTAAATGAGCAGCCCCTCTGCCAGTTCGGACATCTTGCAATAAAATTATAAGGCGTAGATTCATCCAAAATATTATGTGAAGCATAATGAGAGCTAAATTGGCTACGAGGAATAGAACAAGCAGCACAACCAAAAATTGGGTAGTTTACGCTGAGATATTCTTCACCCAAAACAATGCTAAGAAATGGAATATTTGGAGTGACCTAAGGAAAAAATATAAATTAAAATGTGAGTAGGGATTAACAAGCTAGTCAATTAATCAAAGCGATGAATTTTGAGTTAAAATTTTAGTTCAGGAAAATGGTAATAAATAGAGACCGGACGGTACCGTATTACGTCGCTATTTATCGGATATTTACCCGTATCGGTAATATGGTATGGAATACCGACAGGTAAAATTTTTTTATTTTTTTCCGTATCGTAAAATTTTTCAGTATTTCAGTAAGGAATACCATTCAGTACGAAATACCGGTCTCTAGTAATAAAGTAAGTTACAAAAAACTTAGTTAGACAACCCCCCCCCCCCTAACTTAGTTAGACAACCCCCCTATACTCTGATTGGTATAGTGAGGTGAAAATTTTTGACGGTTTATAAAAATATAAACTTACAAGTAAGCTTCTCTTTCGGTAAAATTCAGGTAGAAAACTCAAAATTGAATTATTATCCAATAATTTTAAAATATTTTTCTTCTTTTGTTCAAAATCCCCATTCTCTTTGTTTTCTTTCATTGAACCCAATTGATGTAAATGTTGACTTCCTAAAACAAATTGTTTGAAAATTTACTAGATCTTAACAAATAAACCTGGATCTAACTTGCATAGACGACAACCAGCAAAAGGCTCACGAATTTTTTTGTTTTTGTTTTCCTGAATAATAAATTTATTTATGAGCAAAATCGAAAAAGTTTACAAATGTTTTTAAAATTTTTGAGGGTCTAATAAATAATAAAATTACTGTCAACGCAGCAAATATGACAAAATTCACAGAAAAAATTTCCCGTTAATTTTTTTGGAAAAATTAAGAGAAAGCACAGGGTGAATGTCAGGCTAATCAAAAATAAAAACTCGTAAGTACACTAACTAAATGTAAATGTCGACTACCTAAATTTCGTAAATTTTTAGTCATAAAATTGTCTCGGTACACAATATGAACCTTACAAATTAGCGTCGTTCTATAAAATTCCTAACTCACAATTTCTTGTTTTTCTTCATCACTGCTATCAAAATAATCAGAATCTGGTTCATTTAAACTAAATTTTCTTTTGTAGAAATTTTTGTCTTCCAGCGGCGCTTCACTTACTACTTCATTTTGCCGGTTTTTATATTTATTTATTACTATAGAATTTTGTTTGATGAAATCCATTGCGATTGCGGTAGGGCGAAGAGTAGAACGCTTTTTATGTGGAATTTGGAAGAATTTTGTTAGAATTTTCTTTGAAAATGAAAATAATTTTAAGAATTCTTTTTTTGGAGAATCTTGAATTTGCGGAGGATTTTTTAATAGAATTTTTAAGTTTTTTGGTTAAAAGCCAAAATTAAAAAATATAATTAAAAACATTTAACCAATAAAAGGGGAAAGTTTCTGATGCAATAAAAATAAATTTTGAAAAGGATGAACATCAGGAAATTTTTAAATGTAAGCGAAACTCCTAAGAAAATTCAAGCCTACATTTGCTCGAGCAAAATAAAATTTCTCCCTAATAAAAAAATTAACTTGGAATAATTCTAATAAAATTTAAAAAATTGGTCCGCAAATCTAATCCGCAAAAAACTCAAAAAAAATTAAAAACCTGATCAATTAAAGCAATTGCAATGTCTGGGACTTCTAGTTCATTTAATTCTTCCATTGTTTTTTCATTTTCGGGAAATATTTTTTCTCCAGTCCTGGCAATTCTTTTTAACAATTTTTTAGCTTTTGCAGAGTAAAACTGTCGATTGCGAACAAATGGACAAAAAACTAAAGAAGCACAACAGAAAGCAATATGTTCAGCAATAAGTTGTCGACGAAGTCGAACATTGCAGCCATAAATTGTATTAGGGCAAGTGCAGGGGGCCTAAGAAAAAAATTTTTGGAAAAATTTCGGAATACTAAACAGAACGCAAATGGGTCAAACTATATGTCATTCGAAAGAGCTCGTCGAGTTGAGTCGAATGGTGAAAAAATTTTCGTGCGGACTCATACAGGGGCTGAGATATAGGCCCCCGAAAATCGAAAAACCATAGGGGGGACCAAGCACTTTTTTGGGGTAAAAAATTCGAATATGCAAATTATACCTCATTCGAAAGAGCTCGTCGAGCTGAGTCGAATGACACCAAAATCAACGAAATCCGACTTGATTGGACAAAGTTATGATCTTTTATTTTAGCTCCTTACCTATGGCAGCTGTGGAGATTTTTGCTGCTACGGAGGCCCCAAATACGTCCAGAGCAAGGGAGATAGGCATAAGTTTATGTTACGAGCCCAGACCCAGCGCCCGTAGACTCCCCGCGAGGCGCGTGCCGCAAAAGCCCGCGCGAAGCGCGGGCTTTTGCACAAGCGCCTCGCCGACGCTCCATAGGTTTAGGTTTTAGTTTTTCTATCGTAACTTTGTCTAAACTTGTACAATCACGATGATTTTGATGCCATTCGACTCAGCTCAAGGAGCTCTTTCGAATGAGCTACTATTTGCATATTCGAAATTTTTACCCCAAAAAAGTGCTTGGTCCCCCCTATGGTTTTTCGATTTTCGGGGGCCTATATCTCAGCCCCTGTATGAGTCCGCACGAAAATTTTTTCACCATTCGACTCAACTCGACGAGCTCTTTCGAATGACATATAGTTTGACCCATTTGCGTTCTGTTTAGTATTCCGAAATTTTTCCAAATTTTTTTAACCTTATGAGTCATTGAAATTTTTTTTAATTTTCAAAAAATAAACAAAAAACCTTTCCACAAATGTGTTCAATATGATCTTCCAATTTGCATTTATGTAGACGAACGCCACAGAAGTTACAATGAATAAGTGGACATAAATCACCTTGTTTGCAATTTAATTTAATACAATTGACACAATGGACATGTTCTGTTGGAAAGGATTTATCAATAATTGTAGGTTCAATAAACATTTCTGGCAAAGAAAAATTTTGTATAAAATTTTATGAAACTAATCTAAAATTAGGAAAAACTTTGGGAGAAGTAATTGGGGGACGACGATTAGGCGCGGAGACAAATAGGCGCGAGACGTTTGGGCGCCCGAAATTATTTTTTCCTAGAAAATTTTTTTGTTCTGATTTTTCTTCTGATTCAGAAGAAAAAATCATAACAAAAATCAGAACAAAAAAATCAGAAGAAAAAATTTCTAGAAAAATACCTTCGGGCGCCCAAACGTCCCGCGCCTATTCGTCTCGCCCTATTTGTCTTCGCGCTTTTCGTCCGCGCCTATTTGGCCTTCTTAATTTTTCCAAAAAAATGATTGAATTCTTATTTTTTATTTTTTACTTTCAACAAATGTAGATGAATTTTTTAATTGGTTATGAACACTTTATTGGAGGAATTGCGGGAGGATTTGTTAGTACGGCAACTTGTCATCCTTTTGGTTTTTTTAATTTAATTTTTTTTAATTTAAAACATTTTTTTAGATCTGTTAAAAATCCGTTATTCAGGTTTTTTCTTAATTTAAAATAAATTTTATTGATTTTTGGAGACTTTTATTAGAATAATTAATTGTAGTTTATGCGGACAATTTTTGCGGACAATTTTTGCGCATTTTTTCTTTTAAATTCAATCGATTTAAAATAATAATTTTATTCACACAAGTATTTTTATTGGTTTTATTTTTTAGAAAATTCAACTTAACGCATTTTTGAAATGAGGAAAATTAAAAGATTAGGAGAAAATTCTGGACAAATAGGAAAAATGGGTGGAAAAGGTCCGCAAAAATAAGTAAAATTTAATCCCCTCTTTACAAATTTCAAATTTTCAGCAAATGAAGGCAGCCAACTCAGACCAAAATATTCTAGCTATTTGGACGCTATCCGCAAAATTTATTCAGCAAATGGAGTTAAAGGATTGTATAGAGGGATTACCCCTGCTGTAGTTGCTGCACCTTTATCCTGGGGTCTCTACTTTCATTTGTTTGTTTTTAAATTATTTTTTGGTATTTTTGTGAACAATCTTGGGGATCTTCTCCTTTTTTCTTTATTTTTTGCCATTGCCAGTTTTTCGAATGTTTGCAAAAATTTTAGGCAAAAAACCCAACTCTACATTGTAATAATCAAAGGCGTAGGCCAGGAGGCTCCCACAAAATCAACCTTCTGGCTACGCCCTTGGTAATAATTTTTAAAAATTAGGGTGTGAATTTGGTACTTTTTCCTATTAGAGAAGTTTTCGTCCCTTCATTTTTTGAATTTTCGATTAAAAAAAATTTTTTTTGAAAATTTTTAGTTATAATCGAATCCGCTCATTTACAAATACCTCACCAAAATATCCATTTTTTGACAATTTGTTGGCCGGTTCAATTACCGGAGGAATTATTCTTTCATTAACAAATCCTTTTTGGGTATGTAAAACTAGAATGTGTTTACAATATGAACATTTGGTAAATGAAAAACAATTTTCTGGACTTGTTGGATGTTTAAAAAATGTATGGAAAATAGAAGGACTGAGAGGATTTTACAAGGTTTTTTAAGAATTTTTAAAAATATTTTTCAATTATTTTTTTTTCTGACTAAAACAATTTCCGTTAATATTGAACCGGACAGACCAGACTTGCGCAAGGATACGGATAATATCCGGATATCCGCGGATACGGATGGATATTGATAGTTTTTTTTAATCGGAGGGATACGGATATTGACTTCACGGATATATCCGGATACGGATAGCAAAATCCGTATCCATGCACAAGTCTGGGACAGACACCCTTTTTTCCTCCCAAATTTTCCCTCTATATTTTTGCAAAATTGTCAGACTTTTTTCTTTCTTTCATCCAATTTACCTTTCTAATTTTTGCCTACAATCAAACAAAAATAATTACTTAATTTTATACAAGTGCAAATATTTTATATGACAAAAACAAGTAAAATGAGGAAAAATATACGGGAAAAATTGGGTAGGGAAAAAGGGGGTCTGCCCAGTTTAATATTACCCAGAATTTAAATTTTTTTCTAATTTCTAGCTTTTGCTGACATAAATTGAAAATTTCCCTTTTCCAGGGTTACATCCCAGGCTTAATAGGCACTACCAACGGAGCTGTTCAATTTGCAATTTATAACAGATTAAAAGATTATCGTTGCCATTCACTTGGATTGGCACAGGACTCGCAATTGGTTTATTTTATTTTATAAAATTAAACAAAAATTTTTAGAAACCTTTGGATTATTTATTATTTTCCACAATATCAAAATGTTCCTCAACAATTATTACTTTTCCATATCAAGTTTTAAGAACTCGTTTACAGGTATTTAACTAAGAATTTCAAATAATTTTTTCCTTAATAAGAAGTAAAGACTGGTCAAATTTTAATTATAGTAAAATTTGATTCATTAAAATACCTTTAAGAGTTGCTATTAGGGTTGTTACCCATCCACGTTTAGTCCACGATTAAGGGTACCCATTCACGTTTAATCAAGCCACTTTTAATCATTGCCCTCCCAAATTTTTTTCTTTTCCCCATTTCGGGGAGGGATGATTGAAGAGTCTTCCAGTTATCCCAAAGAATTTATTTTATAATTTTATAAAATAAATTTAGCTATCCCTCCCCGAAACGATAAATGCATAAAAATCTGAATTTCCCTTTTGGAAATAGGGTATGATCTTGTCTCACCAAAAGCTTGACTCACCAAAGCTTGACTCACCAAAAGCTTGACTCGCCAAAAGCTTGACTCACCAAAAGCTTGTTTCACCAAACCCCCAAAAGCTGTTGAATCACCAAACAGTGGAAAAAAGCTTGAATTACCAAATAAATACCAAGCTACAAATTCTTTTGGTTATTTATCTATGTAACTCTTAACAACAATGGGTTTTATCCCAACAATAGGAGATACATATGTCTAAACTGAATCTTCGCTAGAAAAAGTTGTTCACGGCATTGGAACGTCATCCCCCGTTGACGGAACGTCATCCCCCGTTGACGGAACGTCATCCCCCGTTGACGGAACGTCATCCTCCGTTGACGGAACGTCATCCTCCGTTGACAGGACAATTTCCCCCATTGACAGAACAACTTCCCCCGTTCGCGGGACAACATCCCCCGTTGACGGAACGTCATCCCCCGTTGACGGAACGTCATCCTCCGTTGACGGAACGTCATCCTCCGTTGACAGGACAATTTCCCCCATTGACAGAACAACTTCCCCCGTTCGCGGGACAACATCCCCCGTTGACAGAACAACTTCCCCCGTGGTTGGTATTTCGCATTTGGTATTTCAAGGGATTTTGGGGGTTTGGTAATTCAAGCTTTTTTCCACTGTTTGGTATTTCAAGGGATTTTGGGAGTTTGGTGAAACAAGCTTTTTTCCACGGTTTGGTGAGTTAATGGCTTTTGGGGGTTTGGTGAAACAAGCTTTTTTCCCCGGTTTGGTGAGTTAATGACTTTTGGGGGTTTGGTGAAACAAGCTTTTGGTGAGATAAGACGCTCCGGGAAATAGAAAGCAAAAAATTTTTGGATTTTGATTTCAACTGATTTGACAAAATTCCTGACCTTGATTCTCGGAAAACATGGACCTCGAAAATACTCTAACCATTAGTCTCAACCGGACTGATCTCTAACAATTCTTTAAACATTTATAGGATCATCATGTCAAATATACGGGCACTATAGACTGCTTTTCTAGAACACTTAAAGTGGAAGGAATTTTTGGTAAGAAAATAAAAATTTAAGAAAAAAAATTTTATTCAAAATTTTAAAGGGTTTTATAAAGGTTGTTTAGCCGCAACAATAAAACAACTTCCCTATAGTGTAATAACTTATATTGTTTATGAACAAACACGTTATTATATTGAAAGATTGTCAAAAAC